GCGGGGCGGGGCCGGGCGAGGCGGGGCGCGCGCGCGCGGCGGCCGTTGAAGGACCGTTGGGGCGGGAGGTGGCGGCGGCGGCGCGCGCTGCGGGCAGTGAGTGTGGAGGCGCGGACGCGCGGCGGAGCTCGAGCTGCTGCAGCTGCTGCCGCCGCCGGAGGAACCTTGATCCCCGCGCTCCGGACACCCCGGCCTCGCCATGGTGAGTGAGGCTGGGAGACCGCCCAGGCTGGGGCTCTGAGGCGGGCACGGCGGGCAGGACTCCCGAAGGGGCCAAGGGACCCAGAACGGGGAGTGTTGGGGCCCCGGCGAGCGCCTCTGGACCCCCTTCGGCCCGGGGGACGTTCAAACCCAGAGCGGGACATTTGGATCCCAGAAGGGGGGTTGGGGCTTGAAAAGCGACTTTTAATACCAGCTGGGGTGTTGAGACCCCAAAATGGGCACCCGAGCTCTCAAAGGGGACGTTTGAACCCGGGATGGGACATCTGGACCCTCAGAGGGGGCGTTTGGACCCAGAAAGGGCGTTTGGAGCCAGAGTGGGGCGTTTGGTCTCTGAGGTGGGGTGTTGGGACCCCATAGGGGGCGAGGTAAGAAACACTGGCTGGGGAAGGAGGGGGTGTCGGGGCCCTAATGAAGACTTTGGGTCCTAAAAGGATGCAGGGAAGGGAGATCAGAGGAAGGCCAGGCTGCCGGGGAGCTCCCGAGAGGGGGCCGTGTGTAGCTGGACCTGGGTGGGGGAGAGGGGCAGGGATGGGGGTGACTTCTGCAGATCAGACCCTGGGTGGGGGGGGGGGATGGTTCTCCAAAGACCGGCATTGCAGAGGAAGGAGGAGGAGGGCGAGGTGCAAGCTTAGGGGAGGAAGAGCCTGCGGTGGGTGGCAGTGGAGGTTAGAAGATGCTCTGGAAGCCTGCGGGGACTGAAAAGGATTGGGGTCGGCGAGGTGGTTAAGAGGGAATGGCGAGGCCGGTGCCTGCCAGTGGTGGGGGAGCAGGAGGCCTCGTGGTTGATTTGGGGGGCGGCCAGAAAGGGCTCTGAGGTTACTAGTGGGTTGAGGCTGTTGCACTGGGGAGGTCGGTGTTCTTGGGAGGGGGCTGGGGCTGAGTGTTGTGTTGGGTCCAGCAGAAGGTGGGGGTGGGAGAGGACTCTGGCTCCGGTGGTGGGAGGTGAGGTGAAAGGAGGCCTGGGGGTGGGGGTGGGGGTTGTTAGAGAAGATGAACGACAGCCAAGGTGGGCCTAGATTTGGAGGTGGATGTGGCTAGCGCCCTGGAAGTCTCCAGGGCAAGACCAGGACAAAGACTGTTCCGAGTAGATGGGGAGGGGGCTGCAGAGGCCGAAGGGAGTGGCCGTACGGTCCCCCTTCGCCAGGAAGAATGGGGCTGGGCAGGAGGCGCCCCGGCAGTGGGAGCAGGTGGGCAGAGTTGTTCGGGCCCCTTATTGCGCACTGAAGCCGCATGAACTGGGGGTGGGGGGGGATCAAAGTTTGGGATGCACCAAATGAGCCAGCCTTGTAAGCGGAGAATCTCACCGCCTCGCTGCCCCTTTCGGACCAAGAGGGCGGCTTTTTCCAAACAGGAGCCCCGGTTTTCTTGCGGTCTCCGGCTCCCTGTGCTGCTCTCCTCACTTGTGCCAAATGACAGCGCAGTACAGTGTGGCGTCGGTGACAGTCGGACGCCTGTTCCTGGGGCCTCGGGGTGGGGGCTGCAGAGCTGGAAACGAGCGAGCGCACCTCCAGAGGGACCCCTTCTTCGGCCTGAAGGCCGCTTGTTCCGCCCAGGGGCCTCCCCGAGCGCTTCTGTGAATCCACACAGCTAGGGCTTTGAGAGAAAACCAGCAGACGAGCTCTTTCCTGCGCCCTGCCACCCACAACACCCACAGCCCCCCCAGGCTCAGCTTCGGAACCGTGCACAGCCATCCTCCCTGGCAAGGCTGGGGAGAGCAAGCAGCCGCTGCTTGTATCAGGTCTCATACTTGCTGACACAGACCCGGTGGCTCCTCTTGCCATTACCCCGATTTCCCCCGGCAGGACTTGCTAGAGGGGCCCCCGAAGAAGCGCCGGCAGGTGCCAGGAGGCCCCCCACGTCCCGGATGGGACCTGAGCTTTGGCCCCAGCTGGTTTCTCTTCCCGTTTGTAATCAGCAAGGTATGGGTGGGACAAGTCCCTGTGAACCGGCCTTGGACTTTGGCCTGAGCGCTGTGGCTCCACCTTGGCCCGGGTGAGGGGCCCTGGCCTTGGTTTCTGATCTCATCTAACACTGCTCCCTGGCGTTGGCTGGGGGCTGGGTCAGGGCAGAGAAATAATACCCTCTTCCCTCCCCCACCCCAAGGGTTGTTTTTTTTTTTTTTTTTTTTTTTTTTTTTTCTCGTCCAGCCCCTGGCCGGAGCCTAGGATGAGGGCTAAGGAAGCAGTAGACCGGCTGGGTGATCTTGGAGACACTTTTTGTGAAAGCTTAAAATCTTCAGATTTTGGAAAGGGAAGAAACCCCGAGGAGGGCCCCCGCCCCCACCTCCGCCCGCCCGGCGATGATAATTTCTTGGGTGATCGGTCTTCTGGCCAGTAACCATGCTTTGAGATCGAGAGCTCGGGAGCTGGGACCTTTCCTTCAGCAGGCAGGGGAGAGGGTCTCCTAGTGCGGGGAGGGAGAGCGTCTGACGGGCTCTACAGGCAGAGCCGCGCCTATTTGCAGCGGCCCCGGAACCCCGCGTGGCATACCTCATCTGGACCGTCCAGCTGGGTGGGGGGGGTGGGGGGGGTGGGGGGGTGGGGGGAGTGGCAGACACAGGCCTGCGGAGCCCCTTCCGGGCATTCCGGTCAACCTGTCCCAGCCCCCGACGGTGCTGCCCGAAGGCAGAGTGGTGCAGTAGGGGTGGGAAGGCCCCGGATTGGGCCGGCTCTCCCCATCCGGGGCCAGGGGGGAGAGAGAACGAGGTGCCGGTAGGACGGCGGCCCTCCTCTCTCTCTTCCCTCTCCCCTGGCATTGCCTGGCCCTCGGTAACCAGAAGCCCATCCTCTCTTCTCACTTCCCCCCCCCCCCCCCCCCCCCCCGGCAGCTTCCTCGGGTGTCAGGACCGGGCTTCTCTGCCCATGGGAGCCAAGGGAAGCGGGCCGAGCAGGGGGCTTGGGGGCTGGGGCTGCCGGGCCGGCATTTTAGGAGCCCAGCAGCCCCGAGTCTTTTTTGAAGGCGGTACAGAAGCGTCCCTCCGGCCGTCCTCCTCGCCTTCCCTTTAGACTTCGGACTTTTCTAGAATGTGCACGTGTGGTGTTTTTCCTTCTCCACCTTCTTTCCTCCCTCCTCCCTCGGCCGTCTCTTTCTCTTTCCTCATCACTGTGCTTCCCCCTCCCATTCCGCCTGTTTGGGGCTTGGCCTCAAGTTCCTCTTCCCTTAGATCTAAAAGAGAAAAGAAAGGAAAGGGGACATCTCAGACCAATTCTAACGTGACCAGTTCTTAGTGTTTGGGACGGGGTGGGGGTGGGAGGGTCGTGGCTAGCTTCCGCTGGAAGCTCTGGAAGCACCGTGCCTATAGTTCGCATCAGTTTTGAGGGCGTCCAGGCTCACGGCGAGAGCCATGGTGTGGACGCGGAGCCCCTTCCCCCTGATGGTGGAAGCAGAGGAGGGGGCAGCCGCCTGGGCACCAGGCCCGGTGGCACCTTGTCGGCAGCATTCACCAAAACCAGGGAGAATTCGGGTATTGGCCGCCTGGAGCTAAATGTTGGGACTCCGGCTCCCCCCCTCCCCGCCCCCAGCTCCTCGTCCAGAAGGTCCCCCGGCCTGGCTGATTCCCAGCACACCAGTGCAGAAGCCGGTCCCGGCCTCTCCTCTGCCCCACCCCCAAACCCCGCATGCAGCAAGGGCTGCCTGCCACCGACTAGCCGGTCCCCAGAGTGGCCGGGACTAGAAAGGGTTAAAAACTGCAGTGAAGCCGGGGAAGCTGACTTCAGTCCTCCAGCCTTTGCCGGTGGTGCTGTGGCTGTGCCTGCCGCAGCCGCCGCCGCAGTCCCCTCCCCAACATTTGCCCCTCCTGCCCCTCCAGAAGAAATGGAACAGAGCACAGGACAGGCCAGGGACGCACAGCTGCAGCCTCTGGCCCGGCTGGGGTTGTGTCAAGTACTCAGAGCCGTTCAGCACCACCAGTTAGGAGAATTTTTGCCAGTTGGGTCCACTGTGCTCAGACCTGGCACCTCCAAATAGGTGACACAGAAACTAGCGAAGAGCCCAGACATCTTCCCTCTGTCCTACCCAAGGGCTGGCCTGTTTCAGTGTGGAGCCTTCTAGAGCTGCACGGTCGGGCCTCCAGGGCAACTGCTCCCTTCACTCAGCCTCTGGGGCTCCCAGCGGCCGTGCTGTGCCAGCGGCTGGTCTGGGGCCCCCCAGCCGCTGTGGCCCCGAGGCACGCTAGGTCGAGACCGGAAGCCCTTGGGTCTGGGCAGCCTACTCAGGGCCCTTGTCGGGCAGCCTGGATTTCCAGGTCACTTCAGGCCCCAGCTTCCGGAATCACCAGACTTTCTCCCAGACCCCGGCTCTCCTTTGGGCCCCGTCAGGCACGTGCCTCCTTTGCCGAGGCGCCTGGGTGCGTGGGCCGGCGTGGGCCGGCGTGGGGAACTGGCCTCACCAGAGGGGGCTGGGCGGAGCCGGCAAGACTGCGACTGGCTGGCCCAGTGACTGACTTTCTCCTCCTTGACTTTCCAGGCTGACCAGCTGACCGAGGAGCAGATCGCAGGTGAGCTCCCCTCCCCTCCTCCCCTCGTCCTGCCTCAGGAAGGCCTTCGAGCGCCCGGCCAGGACTAGCACCCGACAGATGTGCTCGTGTGTTCCCTACGTCGCTTAATGCCGTGCCTTGTGCTTCGAGCGTGGGGAACTGTGGATACTTGCGCACCGGCCCCCGTGGTCCTGAGATGCCACGTCTGTGTTCCTCTCCCGAGCTGGAGTCATCCAGGGGGCCTTTGTTAACCCGTGGCTTCAGGGCGAACCCCTCCGTCTGTCCCAGCTCCTGCCACTTGGGCTCCAGTTGGGCTCCGAAGGCGAGCCTCGCTCAGGGGCTGCAGAGCTCCCGTCCCACTTTAGGAGCCACCCAGGAGATGGCTCGTCACTCCCACCTCTGCGCTCGCCTGTGCTCCGCACTCCCCTCTGCACGTGCTTGCAGCCACTCTCCTCTGCCAGAAACGGCTTCCCCTCGCCCCTCCTCATCCTTTGGGCCTCCGCTCAGATGTCATCTTGGAGAGGCCTCCCCTAACTCGCGGTCTCAGGTCACCTTCCTTTGCTTCCCAGCACGTCACTCCAGGCGCTCTCCTCGTAGCTCTTCTCACTATCTGAAACTGTTTTATATCTTTACCTGCTGTGTCTCTAGTCACTAGGTGTGAGCAACTTGAATTGGGGGCTTTTTTTGGTGGGGGGGGGGGGTCCGTTCTGTATCTTCAGTGCCCAGCACACAGTCAGTGCTCCGTACGTTTTGTTGGCCAAATAAATGAATAAGCGAATGGTCGTACATCTCCCGGGAAGCCAAAAGAAATCCTGGGATCCCATCTCCTTCATTTTGGTGGCCACCTACCTGGCCCCAAAGCCCAGAAAGGTCACCACTGCAGGAACTTCTGTGTGATTGAGTGGGTCGCTCAGCCTCCCTCTCCCAAGACTGCACTGCCGAGGACAGAAAGCACCTCTCGGTTCATGTCCACGACCGCGGGCCAGCACGAAGTAGACACAGGGGAGGGGCTCACGGAATGGGCCCCTGCAGCTCCCCAGACCCCAGCTGTGCTGTCAGGTCCGGCGGGCCGCGTGATGAGTACTGAATGCCCCATGTCAGAAGTGGGAGGAGGCCGGAGTCCACCTGCCTTCGTCTCCTCCCTCCCCCCGCCAGCCCACAGTCGGTCACACTTTCAGTTTGGAAATGGCCCCCAGTGGCTGTGGAGATCCCACCAAGGAGAGCTGGGGGGAACCGCCCTGTTGGGTGATCGTGAGCTCAGGGAGCCCCCACGACCCGCCCCCTGCCCTCCACAGCAACGGCAAGGCCTTGGCGCTGGGACCGGCCTCCCCGGTCTCCCTGGGGAGGCTCGTCTCCCGGTGGCCCGGAGGCTGGGGGACACAGCTTCTCTCTCGGCTGTACGTGTGGCTCTCGCGGCGCCTGCCACCCACGCCCCAGCTCTGCCCTTGTGTGACACAAACAGCACGCGCTCCGCCCCGTCCCCATTAGCAAACTGTCCCCCACGTCACCCCGGCCCACACCCTCTGGGAATAGGCTGCCAGGCATCTGTTTCCTAGGGAGCCCCAGGTGCCAAAATGGGCCCGGTGGGAGGGCGGCAGCCGCGTGCTTCTGTCCCCGCTCCTGATGCGTCCCCAGCTGTGGCCTTCCCACTCAGCGCCACTAGCTCTCCATCCCGCTTGGCAGCCGGCCCCTCTCCTTCCATCCTCCGCCCACCCCACGCGCCGTCCGTCCGTCGGCCGCGCCCCGCTGCCGGCCACCCCCTCACCGCGTCACACGCGGCCACTCGCTCCTCCGCGGGGAGCCGGTGGCGCCGGCCCGGGGAACCGGGCCCGCGGTACCAGTCGGGAGGGACGCGGGGCCGGGCAAAGGCATTTTGCAGCCTCCCCTTCCCTTCCCAGCCGGTTGGCCTTGGCCGGCCTACTTCAGATAGAGAGTTCTCTTGGCTCTTGTCCACTCCGTGACTTTAGTCCGTTTCATCATCTGAGGGAGAGGCTGAAGCCAGGGACCAACAAGAGCTGTAGAATTCTCTAAGAACAGCCGTCAGCCTGTGTTTCCCCCTCTGTCCTCGCTGAGCTAGGTTGGCGGAACGGGTAGCTCCACCGGGTACAAAGTAGGTGCTCAATAAATGTTGACTGAAGGAAGGGGTCTGCCCTGAGCCCCGAAGCGAGGGGCTCGGACTAGAAGTCCCGCTCTGACTTCTTCAGGTAGGACGGACTCCCTTGGCCTTCGTCCACGGAGAGTTTTCCCTGTGGTCCTTGACCTCTGCTTCGTTCCCTCTCGTACCCCAGAGTTCAAGGAGGCCTTCTCCCTCTTCGACAAGGATGGAGACGGCACTATCACCACCAAGGAGTTGGGGACGGTGATGAGGTCCCTGGGACAGAACCCCACCGAAGCAGAGCTGCAGGACATGATCAACGAGGTGGACGCGGATGGTGAGCCCCGTGGCGCGGGCGGACGGCCCCACTCTGGGGCACCTTCCTAGGGGTGACGGATGAGCAGGTGCCGCCGCCGCCGGGGCTCTGGTGTGGCCTCCCAGGGTCCGGGCCAAGAGCACTCCTGACTCCCTTCTCCCCGCTTCCAGGGAACGGGACCATTGACTTCCCGGAGTTCCTGACCATGATGGCCAGAAAGATGAAGGACACAGACAGCGAGGAGGAGATCCGAGAGGCTTTCCGCGTCTTCGACAAGGTAAGCGGTCCTTTGCCGGAGTGGCTCTGGGATCCGGCGGAGAGACGGGTGGCTGGGGCCCCGGGTCACCGCTTCCACGAGGCACGGGTCCCGGTGCCGGCTTGCCGCGCGGCCTTGGGAGGCCCCCCTGCCACTGCTGAGCGTGGGTGCCTGCCGGTCCCCGTCCTGCTGCCTCTCCCCCTGGGCCCACCCCCCGTCGGAGCCTCAGGTTCGGGGCCCTTCCCCGTCCCCACACCCAGGACGGCAATGGCTACATCAGCGCTGCCGAGCTCCGTCATGTAATGACGAACCTGGGCGAGAAGCTGACCGACGAGGAGGTGGACGAGATGATCAGAGAGGCTGACATCGACGGGGACGGTCAGGTCAACTATGAAGGTGAGCTGATGCCAGGTGCTCGCTCCGGAGCGGCCGCGAGGCGCGGCTTCGGGAACAAGCCCCAGGCCCCTGGCGCCCGGGAGGGCCGCCGGCCTGGCCGCGCTCACCAGCTGACCCCCCCGCTCTCCGTTTCACTCCACAGAGTTTGTACAGATGATGACGGCCAAGTGAAGGCCCCCGGGCAGCTGGTGATGCCCACTCTCGTGATCTCTCTCTTCTCGCGCGCGCGCTCTCTTCAACACTCCCCTGCGTTCCCCGGTTCTAGCAAACACCAGTCGATTGACTGAGAATCTGATAAAGCAACAAAAGATTTGTCCCAAGCTGCATGATTGCTCTTTCTCCCTCCTTGAGCCTCCTCCCTCCCGTGCCCACCGTCCCTCCCTTTCTCCCTCCCCCCTTCCGTTCACATCTTCCGAGGCCTGACGCGTTCATAAGACGAAGCCCCATTCCCCTGAGGGGAGCCTCTGCCCTCCTCCTCCAGCCCGGGTGGCTCTCCTCCGTTTTGGTTTGTTTCCTTTCGTGTGTCATCTTATTTTGGGTGCCGGGTGGCTGCCAGCCCCGTCCCGGGACCTGCTAGGGAGGGGACGAGGCCTCACCCGGACAGAAGAGCATGCCTTTTACTGTTGCATGCAACCAGCCCCGTGATTCCGTGTGCACATCCCGGCAGCCTTTTGGGGCAGGGGTGCCGAGAGAGGCGTTCCAGAAGGACTTGGGGGGAGTTGAGGAGTTGTGGTATTGACTGGCTGTGGCCCAGGAGGGGGTCGAGGGGCAAGGGAGTCCTGGAAGCCAGCGTTCTTTTACCAGTCGAGGGGGCCGACTCGCCGAAGGGGACGGACGGAGCGGACCACACTCAGATCCCACCGGCTGCTGTTCTGAAACCATCTGATCGACTTCCTGAGGTTGGGCTGGGTGGGGGCCGCTTGGCCGGGCCGCTCTGCAGGTTGTCCACACCCGTGTCTTGAAAGCGATCTCCAGCTGTTCTGTAAATACCTGGTGCTAACGTCCCATGCCACTCCGCCATGAGGCGCCCGCCCGCCCGCCCGCACCGAGGTCCCCTCGCTGGAACGGATGTGGGGATGTTGCTTTGTAATGTACAGGTTATCCTTTGGGTTTGGTTTTCTTTTTTCTTTCTTTCTTTTTTTCTTTATGCCCCTTAAAACTAATTCTGTCAAAGACCCTGCCGGGCTAGCCGAAGGGTGGGGAGAGGGAAGGCGAGCCCCACCACGCTCTCGAGAGAACATACCTGCAATAAAACGGTGTTGTCGGCTAGCTGCCCGGAGGACTGGCCGGCCGGCCCCTCCCGCTTCTCCGTGGTGACTTGGTTGGCTCCTTAACATCCGTGCTGTCTCTGTGCCCTCTCTCCCTTCGCCCGCCTGCCTGCCCCCACACTCCCCCAGCGGAGAGCATGATCCGTGACCTTGCTTCTGATTTTCGCCTCTGGGACAAGTAAGTCAATGTGGGCAGTTCGGTCGTCTGGATTCTTCTTTTCCTTTTTCTGTTCAGTTCATCTTGCCCCCCCCCCTCCCCACACACACACACACCCCGCCCCCAGGTCGGTCAAGTGGCTTTTCTTGGGACCTGCCCAGCTTTGAGAATCTCCTCACCCACCCTCTGGCTCTCAGCCTCTGAGGAGGGGAGGGGAGGGGAGGGGAGGGGAGGGACGGGGCGTGGTGGGAGACCCAGCCAAGAGCTGAGGGTTAAGGGCAGGTAGGCGTGAGGCTGTGGACGTTTTCGGAGTGTTTTGGTTTAGGTTTTGGTTTGTTTGTTTTGTTTTTTGTTTTTTTTTTTTTTTTTAAACCGGGCAATATTGTGTTCAGTTCAAGCTGTGAAGAAAAATATATATCAATGTTTTCCAATAAAATACAGTGACTACCTGACTTGGGTCTTCCCGTCTCGCCTCTGTTTCTGGGCCTGCTCCCTGCGTGGGCCCTGCAGCCCTGCCCTGGAAGAGCCTTTCCTCCATGCTCACTCAAGAGCCTCGTCCTTGTCACTGGCTGCCGAGAGGGGACCTCTGAGCTGCAGTTCTGATCCCAGCCAGATTTCACGGGTCCGGGTTGTTGAGGGCGGGATACTGATCCGGCCGTGGGGCCCGTCAACTTTGCGCGCTCACCGTAGTGATGGGGGTGCACCGACCCCTGTATCCGGCCGGCGAGGGAGCCCAAGAGGAGGCCGGGGAAGGCCTGAGGCCAGTTCGGACCATGAGAGCATCCCGTCCCATCGAGCCGAGACCCAGACCCGAAGGATGAGCGCTCACACTGGGAGGGAGGCCGTCCCAGGGAACAGCAAGGAGGCAGACCCAAGCTGGCTGAGGCCCAGCTGGGGGGTTCTCAGGGTGCTCTGGGGAAGAGGTGACATTCACTGGGAGAGGGCGAGAGGGCAGGAGCGCGCGGGACGAGATTTGAAACGAGCCCCCAACGACACAGGGGTACGAGGAAACAAGGGCTGGGGTCCGGTGGCTCCGTAGGGGAGGCGTGGAACCATCCTCTCCGCAAAACATGAGCCCCGCCCCCGACTGCAAATCCCACCTGCTCCCCGTTCCCGGGGGTGCAGGGGATGAACCGTTAACGGACAGGGTCTAACTTCTGACCCGCCCACACTCCACCTCCTCCACCTGGCAGGAGGGAAACCGGGACTGAACCGAGTGGAATTTTAAAAAAAACCTACTTTTCGCTGCCCCATCCCTGGCCTTGGGAGGTTAGAGAAGGCCAGCAGCGGAGCCCAACCTCGGGGCCTTCCTGGTGGCAGAGACATCAGGCCGGGGCTGGGCCTTCCCGCCGTGGGCCAGTCGCCGGAGCCCAGCGCCGCGGGTGCGCAAGTCGGGAGCAGCAGGCCATTCTTCCAGAACCCCAGCTTCTGGGCCCCCTTTTTCTTCCCTCTGGCTGTGGTTTGCCTTCTGGCGCAGTGGAGAAGGTGGAGTGTGATGGATGAGAGCCTGCACCCCCCCCACCCCCAGGAGGGCAGCTGCCCTCTTAGCTGCCAGGACACCTGTGGAAAATTCTGGTCTCACAGTTGAGAGGAAGACAAGTTCTGGTGACCCACGGAACTGGGCTCCAAGCCGTATGCGCACTCGCTACAGTGAGTCCGCGGGCTCGCCAAACCTCAAGGTCAGTCCGTCTGTGCCACTTCCTACCTGATAACCTGTGGGCCTCAGTTTACCATTCTGCAAAATGGAAAATAGTAATGATCCCGTAAAAGGGAGATCATAAAAACATCCACTTCAGAGCGCCTGGGCGGCTTAGTCGGTTAAGCACCTGACTTCGACTCAGGTCGTGATCTCATGGTTCACGAGTTCGAGACCCGCTTCTCTCTCCCTCATGCTCTCTCTCTCTCTCTCTGCCTCCCGCTCAGTTGTGCCCTCTCTCTCTCAAAAAAATAAACAAAACTGGTATTTAAAAAAAAAATAGGGGCACCTGGGTGGCTCAGTCAGTTGAGCGTCCGCCTTCAGCTCAGGTCATGATCTCACGGTTCAGGAGTTCGAGCCCCGCTTCGAGTGAGTCCACTTCTCTCTCCTTCTCCCTCTGCCCCTCCCCTGCTCATGCTCTCTCTCAAAAGTAAACATTTAAAAAATATATTTAAAGAAAAAAAAAAACCCACCGACGTCAGAGGGCTGTGCCAACCACTTTCTAGACACATCTCATTTAATTGGCGCACGGGCGAGATTGAGTCCGAACGAGACTCCGCACCCAGTTGGGGTGCCCATGCTCTGCGCCGGGGCATCTGGCCCTAAAATAATGATCAAAATCTGGAGGGCCCCGGGCGGGTAAAGCCTCCTGCACCACACTTCTTGGACGTGGCCGAACCGGGTCCCCAAACCCCAGCTCATTCGGATTCCCAAACGCCCAATGCTTTTAACCACCGCCTCGCCTCGCACTGCCTGCCCTGCTCTACCGCCTGTCTTTGTTTTTCCCCCTTGGGCCCTATGTTTTGAAAGACTTTTACTCCCAGACAGGCTGCGTTATTAAATAATCATGACTTCGCCTTCCCATTTTTTATTAATCAAAGACACGTAGACGGCACTCGGAGCTTCTAATGGACACCAGGCAGGCACTGAGGGAGCTGACTCCAGCCCCGAGTAGAGAGATGCTTGGAATGGGAATCATTTCCAGTTCAGACTCGCAGGTCTGCCAGGCCAGCTCAAACCTGTCCTTCGAAGGTGACTAGCTGAGGTGACCCGGGGGGGGGGGGGGGCCCCCCCGGGGCCCCCCCCCCCCCCCCCCCCCCCGGTAGTGGCCACTGGGACCACTAAGTGTCATCCCCAGTGTGACCAGCAGGTGGGGCAATGGCTATAGAAAGCCCCGGAGTTGCCCCTGGTGGAGACCAGTGTGTGTGTGTGTGTGTGTGTGTGTGCGCGCGCGCACCAGTCCCATCTGTGGGTCAGGCCGAGTGCCTTCCCAGAGGAAGTCCAAAACGACTAAAATGCAGTTATAAATTTTTTTTTTCAACGTTTATTTATTTTTTGGGACAGAGAGAGACAGAGCATGAACGGGAGAGGGGCAGAGAGAGAGGGAGACACAGAATCGGAAGCAGGCTCCAGACTCTGAGCCATCAGCCCAGAGCCCGACGCGGGGCTCGAACTCCCGGACCGCGAGATCGTGACCTGGCTGAAGTCGGATGCTTAACCGACTGCGCCACCCAGGCGCCCCTAAAATGCAGTTATAAACGAACAAAGTCTCCTTCGCTTCCTGACACCCACTCCACGCTACGCAGGCCCCTCGGCTCTGCTCTCGCTGATGCGGGTGCTGTGCTCTCAGCACATCCCAGCTTGCAAGTTTGTATCTTTTCTGCTTAGCGTGAGGCTTAGTTCTGTGATGTCATCCAATTGGGAAGTGAGTGAGATGGGGCCAAGGTAGTGTCCCCTCACTGCTATATCCCCAGCAGGCACAGAGCAGCCTTGGGCCCCCTCCCCCCACCCAGGGGGCTCCAGGGAATCTGGTGAGTTAATGATGAGCAGGAGGCTGAGGCCAGAGACAGCACCTTGAGGACAGAAACATTCCTCTTTCCCGGGCTCACTTTCTGGCAATCCTCAGGTCCCACTCAGCCACCCCCTCCTCCAAGAAGCCCTCCCTGGTGTCCCCCGTAGACTGCACCCCACCCCCCATCTCTCAGCCCCGCCCACTCTGGACTATGGGCCTCAGGAGAACAGGGCCAGGGCTGTCTCTGTCACTGCCGTGTCCCCAGCACCACAGTCTCGACCTGCCCCAAAAGTGCCGAGAGTGCTGAGATAGGAGTGAGTGAGTCTTCTGGGAAGAGGAGTGGGGCGCCTGGCTGGCTCGGTTGGTGGAACGTGCAACTCTTGATCTCAGGGTTGTCAGTTCAAACCCCGCTTTGGGTGTAGGGATTACTTAAAAACAAAATTTTTAAGAAGAAAAAAGGAGAAGGAATAGTTTAAGCAGGACCTGAAGGGCCAGGGTGCTTTTGAGGGTTGGAAAAGGGGAAACACTGTTCCAGGAAGGGTGAGCTCAATAAACAAAGGGGTGGAGGCCACATAGGTCTTGCGCAGGCTCTCGGGGAAACCTTGGTTGTCTGCTGTGGCTGAGAAGACAGGGAGGGAACTGTCCCTTGGCCGCCACCAGAGGGAGCCCTCGGAGCTTGGCAAGCCGGGGAATGACCGCTCGCTCGGCTGGGGACTGTGGAAGAGACTACACCGGCAGTCAGGGGTCAGGACACCAGCTAGGAGAGGAGTTTCCAAATCATCCCGGAGGGGCTGCTGGGAGCTGGGGCGAGGAATGCTTGAAAACCCCTGGCCTGGAAGATGAGGTGATTGGGTCGGCGATTGAACAGTGGGATGCAGAGGGGGGGGCAGATTCTTGAGAAGTCAGGCCTGGTGGTTAAAAACCAGCAGAAAACCAGCCCCAAGGGGCGCCGTCCGACTCTTGATTTCGGTTCAGATCATGATCTCACGGTTGGTGGGATCGAGCCCCACCTTGGGCTCTGCGATGACCGCCAGCTCGGAGCCTGCTTGGGATTCTCTCTCCGTCACTCTCTGCCCCTCCCCCACCTCAAAATGAACATAAAAAAAAAAAAAAGCCTTCTTAGGTATTTAATCTTCACTTCCCTTTAAGCCAAACCTGAAAAATGGGGATGACAATTGCACCCACCTCAGGCTTGGAAGCTGTGGGTTCAACTGCCCAGCCCTGTGCTGCCATTGAGGGAGCCCTAAGAGGCCAGATAGAACTGACCCACTTTCCGAGACAGCACAGAGAGAGGAGACGGGCGCCCCCTGGGGGTCTTGCCTGGACAGGCAGGCCCCCTTTCCCTGGCCTCCAACCCAAAATGCGCCTCTGCAATCCCTCCACCCCCCACCCCATCCTTTCTCCACCGCCCTCCGAGGGCCGTTTGGGTGGGTTCTCACTGAGGCCAGGCCAGGTTTGGCGACAAAAGCCAGACCGCCTGATGTTTCTTGGCCCCCCCGTTTGGTTTTTGTACAAGTCAAGTTTTTGATTATTAAATTCAACCAAGAGGTCACTCTGGCAAGACTGTCATAAAAGTTTCTACACACGCTCAATTTTTTTTTTAGCATTTTTTTGCATCACGTTAGCATTTTGTTTAGCATTTTTTTTTTACGGTGGTAAATGCCCATAACATAAAATGTACCATTTTGACGTGTACAATTCAGAGACGTTTAGTATATTTTCAGTGTTGTACAACCATCGGCGCTACCTAGTTCCAGAACGTTTTGATCGCCCCAAAAGGAAGCCCATGGCCATTAAAGACGATCGTCTGGACCTATTTTTTAACTCTCCCAGACACCCCTCTTGCTCCGGTAATGTGATTCAAATCATAGTGGCTGGGGAAAAAAACAAACAAACAAACAAAAAAAAGAAATGGGGAAACCACGGAAGCAAAGTGCTGCTTTTTCTCAACCCACGTTTCAAGCCACAGACAACAATAGCAGCGACAAGGGTGGCAGTAACAGTAACGCGTCTTGGGGTATTTGTTCCAGGAAAGCACTGTGCTACGCTGCTTTCCAGGGGCAACGGGGTCATCCCGAGCACAGCCCTGTGAACTGAATACTACGTTATCATCGCCCTTCTGCACAAAAGGAAGCCAGGGCCCAGGGAGGCACCGCCACTAGCCAAGCGAGCTGGGTTCCGGAGATACAAAGATCAACTGCACCCTTAGACTGTGCTTCCTCCTCGCTGTGTGACCCAAGGCTGGCGATTGCCCTCTCTGGGCCTTGACTCCAGCTTCTGTGGAAAGGCTCCAATAAGAGCAGGCTGGAGGGAGGGTGCACCCCCCCCCCCCTGCAGAGTATCTCTATGGGAAGCCCATGCCTCCCTCTCCGGTCCCTCCCCAGGTACATATTTATGGTTTTAACCCTAGAGCAACTACAAAGGGGAACTGGGAGGGGCTGGGGGGAAAAGGCTGTCCCGGCTGTCCCTCTGTTCACCGCCTACCACCCCAAACACCACTCCCTTTCCTGTCAGTCAGCTCCCTCTCAAGCACCCTCGATCTCAGGCCTCTCTGTGGGCAGGCGAAGGCCATGAAGCCAGAAGGCTGGCGATCACCCCAGCGGAGTCCCGGGGCGGGGCAGAGACTGGTCTAGGGTCTCCAACACCTGCAGAGTCAGTGCCCGCTATTTGCGGAAGGAATCAATGACATTTTTGGGAGGGCTCCGAGGACACATGAGCTGAGGTCAGGCTTTGTAAGTAAGCGGGCGGCTGTTTGCTCAGGGACAGGCACAGGGACTTGGGTCTGCGTCCCTGTGCCCGGGGGGGTCCCTGGGATCCGTAACTCCCGTGCCTTTGTCCTCGGGCCGCCCTCGTCTCCGCCGGCACCCGGGCTCCCGCCCCCGCAGTCCACATCTCGCAGGCCACCAAGCCATGCAGCTTCCCAGGCACGTGTCCGGAGTGCCACCTAGCATATGACAATCTCTCCTTCCTCCGGTCCCCCACCCCCACCCCCCGCCCCATCTCTTCCACGTCTGATGGGAAATCAGGAGTGAGGGGAGGCAGGGAGCTTGTCCAAGAATGTCTGGTTCTCATCAGGCAGCAGAGAGGGTGGAGTGGCCTGGGAGAGGGCAGGGATGTCCCCTGGGGTTTGGGGGCGGGCCAGCCAAGCACCCCGAAGGGATGAGGATCAGAGTCAGAACCTGGACCAGAGCAGACCTGAGTGCACAGAAGCTTCTGGGAACTTTCCCGCCCTCTAAATATTTAGACAGTGAGATAGATGGGCAAGCGAGGACCAGAGTGGGCCGGCCAGGCCCCCAGTTATTTTGAGAGACCTGTTCTTTTTGTGTTCCAGGACGAACGTCCCCTCTGTCCCTCCCTCTTCTCCCAGAGCCTGCCGTGGCCACCCTGAAGAAGGAGACATAGGGGAATAGCAGCTGATCACCCCCCGCATTCAGGGGGTCGAGATTCCAGCAGACAAGGACCCCGAGACTCATCCCCGCTTGTCCACCAGCAGCCGTGTCGCCCCTGTGTGTCCGGCTCCTGCTTCCGGGACACAGGGCAGGAGATCGCGGCAGCCGGGTCAGCAGAGGGAGCAGGCTGCCGCCGACCCCTCTTTGGATGACGTTCCCGTGGTGCTGGCGGGTCGCTGTGCCTGGGGTAAGCGTCCCCCCCGCCCCTCGCCCCAGGCTGACAGGGGCACCCATCTGTCCTCCTTCCCCCCAAGAGCAGTGGGGGCCCTTGAGTCCTTCCTCCCCGAGGCGGGCCGGGAGAGGGGTGTCTGCGAGTCGCCGTGGGCAGGACTGGGGCACAGGCAGCACAACCAGGTCCTGAGCCTCTGGAAGACAGCCTTGCGGAAGAGGATGAAGACCCAGGGGTCGAGGATGGGGTTGAAGGCGTTGAACCGGAAGGCCAGGAGGTCCCCCACCTCGCTGCTGTCCGGGGCGATGGCCTGGGTGAAGCCTCGGACCTGGGGACAGGGCGAGGGCGTTAAGAAGCACCCGTGAACCCCCCACCCTCCCCCCCCGCCCCCGCCCTCACGCCCCGCCTTCCACTTGGGTCGCTGGCAGGAATGAGGGAGGGGCGCCCTTTAGAAAAGGAAGGAAATAAGATAAGATGTAACCTAAGTGAGAAATGCATCCGGGCCGCGCAGAGGGAGAGAGAGTCCCAGGAAAGTACCAGCCTGGAGGGACAGAGCTGGGGTTGTGTGGGTGTGCCCCGGGGCCGTAGCCCCTGCGTGTGTGTGTGTGTGTGTGTGTGTGTCCACACCTTCCAGCCTCTGAGTTGTCCGTAACCCCCGCCCCCTAAGGTTGGACGGCCCCCAAATCTAGCCCAGCCCTCGCATTTTACAGAAAGAGAAGCCGAGGCCCAGAATACAGGGCCGGATGACCAGGTGGCCTTGCCACGTCCCAGTTCCCCGGAGAAGCAGGCAGGGGCTCTGCAGGGAAGGGGCGAGGCCGGGAGAGTGGGGCTGGGGTGGGAAGGGCCGGGGGGGGGGGGGGGGTGGGGAAGCAGACCCTGGAATCTGGGGTCCAGACCTGGCTCTGTGTGCATGTGGGCAAGACACATGACCCTCCACCAGTAAAAATAGCGACGGGACAGGAACTTTGTTCCGTTCCTTGCTAAGTGCTCGTGGAATGGGTGCCACGGGTCATTTGAAGATTATTCCGGAGAGAATTTGTAAACCGCAGAGCACAGGGTGGACCCAGAGCAAGCGCGCAATGAACGGTGGATCTTGTCATCACCGCGGGGGTAGGGGAAGGTTGGGGTGTGTTTGGAGGGGTGCCAGAGATGTGCAAGGCTGGGAGACCAGGGGTCAGCAGGGGTCCAATAGGGCAGAAGCACGGGGTGGGGGGGGCACAGACTTCTCCGGAAAGCTGGGAGTTGCTTGGCCACGGACAAAGCCTCCGGCCTCGTCGGGGGGTCTCAGCGTCCCCATCCGTGAAACGGGCGCAACCGCTGGAGGACAGAGCCGGGTGCCGCCCTCCCCCTCCCCCTCCAGCTGCGGAGAGGACTCACCGTGAGAGGCAGGGAGCACACGGCCATGATGCCCGTCATGAGAGCCAGCAGAATCAGGTGGTCAACCTCGTCCTCTCCCGCCCGGGGCCCGGGCACCAGCGAGCCCTGGTGGCGCCTCTGCCGGCGATACATGCGGCAGAGGCTCAGGGTGACGGAGCTGTTGCAGAGGACGATGGCGGCCACCAGCAGGGCCACGAGGCTGGCGTAGGCCAGCGAGAAGGCGCAGCCGCCCGGCTCCGTGGCGCGCATCCGGATGAAGCACCAGCTCCCCGGGCAGTACTGCTGATGTTGGCCCAGGCCCAGCAGGGGCAGCGAACAGAAGAAGGTGCAGAAGGCGTAGACGGCAGGCAGGGCGAGGCGGGCGCAGCGCGGCCCGTCCAGCTGGGCGTAGACGTAGGGGTGGCTGAGCGCCAGGCAGCGCTCCACGGCCATGGTGAAGAGGATGAGCGTGGAGGCCAGGCCGAAGAAGGTCATGGCGAAGGCGAAGGTGTCGCAGAGCGTGGGGCGGCCCCGGGCCAGGCCCAGCAGCGAGCTGTTGCGGGCGTAGGTCACGAACACCGCGGGGCTCAGGAAGCAAGTGCCCAGCAGGTCGGTGACGGCCAGTCCGGTGACCAGCACGGTGAAGGCCGAGGGGCGTGACCGTCGCCGCGCCCCCAAGATGCCTAGTGCCAGCCCGTTGCCCACCACGCCCGCCACGAACATCAGGGTGCTGGTGGCTGGGCCCACCGAGTCCCGCACGTAGGTGAGGTTCCTGCACGAATCCGCCATCCCCCCTGCCTCCTGGACTAGAGGGGTCCCGAGGGGGCGGGGGGGGGGGTGTGAGGGGGAGCCGGGTCTGCCCCCCCAAGCCCCACTCAGATGCCCACCGCCCTCCCCATGGTCAACCCCAAGGTCCACCCGTCGGTCTGTCTGCCTCTCTCCTCTCTCTCCCTCTCTCTCCCCTCCTCACCGCACCTCTGTCTGCCTTCTCTGTCAGTGCCTCCTCTGTCCCCCGCTCTCCTGTCAGCCGAGGTCTGTGTCTGGCTGTGTTGGTCTGTGTGTGTCAGCTTCTCCCTGCTTCCCTCCTCCTCCCTCCCTCCCTCCTCGCCTGGCCCCGGCTTTTTCATTTCCTCCCTCTGCCCCGCCTTCCCCTCCCCTGCTTGCTCTAGAGGCACCCCTCCCCAACCTCGGGCTCTCTCCATCTCCCCTGCCCGGTCCAGGTGCCCTCACTGAGCCACCTGCCACTTCCTCGCAGGAGGGTCTCTCTCTGCTCTTCCCCCTTCCCCGGGGGCCCCCGCGTGGGGACCACTGAATGTCACACTCGGGGGCACACCGGGACAAGACCTAAGGGGCACAGCTGACCGGTCCGAGAGGCCGTCTGGGGGTGGCCTCTGGGATCCATTCTGGGCTCCGGGCCCCGGGGTTAGGACACTGCCCAGGGATTGAGAAATGACCAGGAAATTCCTCCCCGATGTAGTGTTTTACAGGCATTACTGCGATCTCTGTTCCCCGGACACAATTCGCTCCTTCCAGAAGGCTGGAGAAGGAGGTGGCCGAGCCAGAGGAAAAAATGCCAGTCCCTGGAGCCCATCCCAACTTGCAAGCTCACCCGGCCAGCTGAGTCTGGGAAGAGGGATTCGGGGGACTTGGGACTTGGTGTCCCCGCCGTCGGGGGGGGGGGGGGGGGGGGGGCTGGGGGGGGGGGAAACCCAGGGCTTCCAAGAGCACCAAAGGGGAGCGCCCTCCCACCCTCCGGCTTCTTGCTCCAGCAATCCCAGGCCCTTAGGCCAAGCTCTGGTGACCTTGACTTCCAGGAATAATTCTGGCCACAGACAGCAATCCAAGACTCCAACATCACTGTCACATGGTTCTCTCCCACACCCCAAACACACCCCCGGCCACCGCCGCCCTCGGGCCAGTGTGGTCGGCCTGCGTGTCCCAGCTGGTAACAGGTCCTGGTTCCCACTGAGTCAGCGGCTCCCCATTCAGCCTCCCCGCCCCTAAGGGCCCGAGACCCTGTCGGATACCCCTTAGGGGAGGCCCGTTTGAGTAGAGGGATGACAAACTCCATTTGCCCTGAGCTCCTGTCCCCATCCCACCACTAACTAACACCAGCTTCACGGGCCTGGCGGCCAACAGTGGCCAGTGGCCCATCCCAGAGCCCCCTTTGTCACAAGGAGAGAGCCTGTGCCCGTGTTGCCTCATGTCCAAGGCCAGGAGGGATGCTCCCGATCTCCAGGGCCGGACACTGGGTAGCTGCAGACTTCCCCTCTCTGTACCCAGGCCCCTCGGTGACCACAACCCCCGCACCCCTTCTCCCCCTCTCCCTATCGCCCGTGTCCAGCTGGCATCCCCGCTTCCGGCCTCAGCTTCAGCCATAGCAGGGGCTCTGAGGGGGGGGGAAGCACCCGTGTGTATGGGCCTCAGGCCTCCTAGCTATGTGGTCCCCCCCCCCCACCAACCTGCCACCGCCCCATGCTCTGCGGTCCCCAGACAGACCAGAGGGAACTCAGGAAGTTGTATCATATTAATGAAAGATGATGCCTGGCAGGCTTCTGTCCTGTCGAAGCATCAGGGGAGTTGGGGGGGGGCGGGGGTAGCTCTGGTTCCTGGAGCCTCCCTCCCACTGGCTTCCTGTCCCCACTGGGGACGTGAAGCGTTCAGGAAGTCCACTCTGCTCCCATGCCCAGTGAGGCCTCACACACCCTGCCCCCCCTCCAGGCCTCAGTTTATCCACCTGTGCCACTGGGGGCCGGGAGTCCCGGGGCCAATGTCAGTGCTGGACACACTTCCACTTACTTTCCGGGAACCCTGACATCCTGCCCAGCTGGGGCCACGCCCACAGCAAGGGCCACAAAGGGTTCCTCTTCCTGCAGGTGCCTTGGGGTGAAAGGTCGCCCCAGCTGTGCTATGAGGGGGCGGGCGGCTTCCACGGGCGGGGGAACCGTGGGAAGGAGCCGCCCCGGGTGGGTGAGTCAGCCTCCTCCCTCTCACACTGGTCGAATGCGACTCAGGCGTCCCCAGAAGGACCGCGGACAGAGGGGCAGAGGAGAGGACAGGACAGCCCAGGGACAGCTGGCGCCGGCAGGCACAGAACCTGGGCAGGGTGGGGCGGGGCGCCCCCCCCCCACCCGGGGGCAGGGTGTGCCAGGGACCGTGGTGGACGTGTGACCTTCATGTGCGGGTCTGTGTGGGATTAGTGTCACCCGGGTGAGCCTTGGAAGAGCGCTGTGAGTGTGTGTGTGTGTGTGTGTGCACTCTGGCGTCCCTTTCCTCGAAGGTCCACTCGCCCGTCGGTGCCTGTTGACCGTCTTGTTGAGGGTGTCGGTGCCTGGGTCCCGCGGGCCTGTGGGCCTCTTCGTGGCTGTGTCTCCCGCGTCGGTTTGCAAGGGAAGGTTTGCTGCCCGGCGCCTTGGGAAGACACGGGTTCTGGAAGCACCCCCGTCCGCCACCCGCCGGCCACTTGCTGTGTGACTCCGGACAACGACTTGGTCTAGCTCGGCCCTGATGTCCTCCTTCCTGGAGTGGCTGCCTCGCGCTTGCTGGGGGCGTGGTGTGGACAGTGGGGGCAGAAGGTCGTTATTCCTTCCACAGACTCCCACCCGCTTAACTGTGTGCCCAGGGGGAGGGCCCCAGAGGGGCTCGGAGGCAGGGCGCCGTCCACGGCCCCCCTCGGTGTGCGGCAAGGGGACAGGGGAGGGAGAGGAAGGTCAGAGCTGGAGCCTGCACCGGCAGGCCCTCCCCTGAGTCACCTGCCCCCCCCCCCCAGGCCTCCCCCACCCCTGCTTGTTGGCCAAGGCCTCCGGCTGCCTGCCTGCCTGCTTGGGCCCCATCTGGCCTTGCGGCTGAACTCACGTCCCCCCACCCTTGCCCTGGGCCCAACCCTCTCTTGGCTCCCAGCCTCCTGACCTTGCCCTGGGGGAAGGGAGGAGGATGGACGCACCCTGTACCCCTCCCCGCCCCACGCACAGACAGGAGTGAGCACAGCCGCGTCAGCTCTGACACCTGCCAAGCCTACCTGTCCTCCTGTGCCCTCTGGCCGCTGCAAGGAGCCGCTGTGTGCCCATCCTAACCTGTCCCTCATCGGCAGGTCCCAACACCTTCGGTCAGAGGCCCTTTTCCTCTGCCCACCGCCCTTTCCTGCACCGCAAATGGGCCCTTGCCTACCCGCCAGACTCTGCCCCTCACCCCTGCTCCAGGGGGCTCTCCCCTGTCGTCCCTGCCCTGCCTTTGCGGGGGGGCGGGGGGGGCGCCCCTCACTTCCGTCCTGCAAGCCCCCTCCCGACACCTCCAGTCGCTTCTGGAAGAGCTCATCCGTCGGCCCCCACTCCCACCTCAAGCCCCCACTGGCCAGGTGATGTCACCGCCCTGTGCCTGATGCCACGTCTGAAACATGGGGATAAACCGGGTCTTTCGGGGGAAGGGAAGGGGTTATCCAACAATCAAGTGAGGTTGGGGCTTCAGAAACAGGACTCCAGGAAGTGATGGTCACAGTTGTGGCTCGGGGCCACCCTGCCCCCAGACCCCTTCAGCAGAACCAAGCACTGCTCAGGGCCTGTGGGGTACAGAGGGAAGAGAGCCCGGCAGGGGCAGCCCTCGGGGTTGGGGGTTAAGAGGGAGGGGACTGCTGACTGCAATCACTTCCCCAGGCGGTCACCTCTCTGCCTCTTGGCCTGGCTCTGACCGCAGAGCTGACCTCACAGCTGGGGCTGGCCGGATAGAGCAGCGGGTTACCAGAAGCCCGTGCTCCCAAGTCATACCCGCTAACAAGATTATCCAGATTTGCACGCATAGATGCTGGTCACCCGGGACCTGCTCTGTCTGGCTCATCCGGCCTCCCCCGCCTCCTCCAGGTAGACCTCCCTTCCTGCCCACCCTCCCTTCCCCACACGGGGTCAGGAAGTCAGGAGAAGGGATCTACAGCCCCTACAGCCCCAAGATTTCGAAGCTGAAAGGGTCTAAAAATCCCAACAGTCTAGGCTCAAGAGATCCTTACACACTCGTGAGGTGCAGAGCTCTGGATCCTAGCCGAACAGGGGAAGAGGATTCTGCCCCCCCCCCCCCCGGGGTTGAAAGACTCCAGCATGCTGGCCCTCTGAGGTCCTGCAATTGGAGATTCCTTCGCCTTTCAGGTTCTAAGAGGCAAGGATGCCGGGTCTGAGAAATTCCAGAATCCTCTGGCGACTTCCCTCCCGGCATCCCTCCTCCCCAGCTCATCCTTGGCTCTCTCTGTCCCCAGTCTCCCCCGGGGCTCCCACAGACATGATGCAACCGGGGCTGGAGCCGGCTGAGAGGTGGGAGGCAGGAGGGAGATGTAATTACAGAAGCTTCTGCCTCGATCCAGCAGGAAGCTCGGAGTCGGGGCCCAGGGGACCCCAATCCGATGTGAATAATGGAGCGCTCACCAGAAGCACGCATGGCCCCCTCTAGGGAGGGGAGGCCCAGTGAGGGGGCTCCATCCAGGTCCAGGGGTCCAGCAACCCCCCCTCCACCCCGTTAGCCCCAAGCTGGGGAGCACAGGTGTTCCTCTGGAGAGAAGAAGTCTGTGAGGACCCCCGGGGGGGGGGGGCGGTCTCTAACTCAGTGGCCCTCCAGCCACCTCACCGGGTCTGAGGTCTGCGTCTCCTCATTTTCGACATTCAAGACATTTCCCACTCTTCACGCCGCGGGAAGAACCCCCTGGGACTCGGCCGCCTTAACCAGGAGACGGTAGGACAGGGACGCGGAGACTCTGGTGAACCGCGAAGCCCGGGTCCCATCCCCCAGCCTCCGGGTCACCCCGAGGGCTTAGGCAGGCCTGAGGTCACCAGAACTTCCGATTTGGGAGAAGCCAGAAATAAGGACTTTTATGTGAAGTACTCCTATTTTTCAATTTGGCAACCAAGTCAAGAACATTTTTAAACGTTATGTAGGCCAAAAGTAGAGAACCAAAAAAAAAAAAAAAAAAAAAAAAAAAAAAAAAAAAA